GCTGGCCTCCCGTGGCCGTAAAAGCAAAATTTGACGGACAGGAATATCAACAAAAGAAGTGGAAGAATTATGATATATTAGTTGAACTCTATTATAGTTGCATAACTAAAACAAACTGGGATACTTCTAGTGTGTCAGTGTGGACCACAGTGTGGCACTTACAGTTACAGTCACGGTTGTTAGGTGAAATTTCATATTATTGTCAATATAATTGTGACAGCTTATTTTTTAACAATCTTATAAATGACTCCTAATTGTTCAATAAACAAGTTCGACAGATCTAGATATTGAAAATGAAAGCAGACCGAATCAGTGAACGAACCAAATGTCCAATCAGCTCCCAGTTGGCTCCTAGTTTGTAAACAACAGAATGAATAACATTAACAGGAAAATAAATATTAATTAGATATGAAATCTTACAAGGAAAATATAATTAAATATGAACGTAAAATTCATAAGCGTGGTCGCAAACTATTGTATTCTGAACAAATGCGTCTGGAAATGAGTAAAGCAGCATTTAAGACACAACATTTCTCCTGATAAGAAATTTTTAAAAACTACCTTATGCGTGTCTAGAAATGTTGTGACAAATAAAACAGTGTGATGCTGCTTAAATATCAGTCACTGCTGTCTACTAGTTAGTGACTGTTCATATGTAAGCTTTCCTCCAAATATGTACTTGGGTTTATATACGCGCAACAATTTCGTCATCAGACGAAAGTTAAGAACTTTTGAGTTGCAGAGTTATTTGAAAAATGCCGGTCCTCGATAATGGATAAATTGCGGTGACCTTGATCTGCTTTATATTATAATTGAATTTATTCTGCTCGAGATCAACGATCTGAAGATCTGACAAAGCTTTCCGATCTTCTTTTGCGGTAACCTTATAATTACGGTGCAAATTACATTTAGCCACCAAGACGCTACCACGATCTTATTAGTCAAAATAACATAGTTAACAAAATGCAGAAAGAAAGAGTAAACTTGTGACGGCTCCACAACTTGTTTATTTGCATATCTTTTATTGCCTCGAAAATTATCTTAAATGATTCCCAGTTTGATTTTGCTCGGCGTACATATGACATCAATTGCATGCAGAATCAAGCTAGTACTATACATTATACAACCATGATTGCATACGTATTATTTCATACGTATATGAATAACTATATCTTGTCATACGTTATGACCCGCCGCGCGGCTCCCCCTGTATCGTAGAAACGCTAAAAGGAGTTTTTTAGTGTCTTAGTTTGGGGTCTTACTCTTAGGGGTCGTTCACATATTATATTACGTAATCAGCCGAGGGGGGAGGGGGGTTTCCAAATGCATACGGTTGACTACGGGGGGGGGGGGGGGGTTCGGTCGTTGATTACGTAATCAAAATTTTCTTTTTTACCCTCTAGAATAATAACAATTTGACAATATTTTAATCCAAATTACACTCAATTTTACTCTGATAGTGATAAAATTTAGAAATTGATCGAATATCCGGCTAGTAGTTTAGAAGGTGCTTGGCCGGATATCATAACAATGATTTCGGCTCATCATGATAGCATGATCAGGGTAGCATGAAACGTAGAGAAAAGTGTTTTCTAGGAAAAAAGTCAAGGGGGGGGGGGGGGGGGGGGGTCCGGCCATGATTACGTAATATTGCTGTCAGGAGGGGGGGGGGTTGGGTCTTGATTACGGTTGGGGGGTAAAATTAAAAATTGCTCAAATATTGATTACGTAATATGTGAACGACCCCTTTGTGAAACGACAATGGGGGTCACGACGTGATACATAACAACGTATATCAAGTTGGATATGCTAGTTCTGTGGAGATATGGTGTGCGGCGTGCGCCCACTCATAGTTTGGGTAGTTTGTAGTAATATATTATATAATACATGATATGCTTTTGCATTTTAATTTAATAACATATTAACTTAAATCACTTACTAACACCCTCCTCCCTCCGTGATTAGTTTTACACATAGCTTTTGTGTTAAAATTACACTAGTGTAATCATTTTGAAACCCCTCCCTCACCCTCATCGCAATGTAGTTTCCATCGGAAGGGGTCGTTCACATACTACGTAATCAGCTGAGGGGGGGGGCGTTTCCGAATGATTACACTAGCGTAATTTTGACACAATAGCTATGTGTAAAACTGATTACGGAGGGGGGGGGGGAGGGGGGGGGGGGGTAAAAATGTTCCAAAAAATTATTACGCAATATGTGAACGACCACTAAAATTAATTCCCTTTCGTATTTCCAATTTCATTTCAAAATCGTTGCACCGCCATAATCTTTGAGAATTGAGTAAAGCGAGATTACCAAAAGCGAAGTCGAAGTATTAGTACATCATCATACAATAATCTCAAACGAATAATTTATGAAAAGAACTATTTTATTATCAGTTTATCTGCTCAATGAAGCTCGTGGGCGTCGTTCAGGTACATGGTGGTCAACATACAGAACACATAGGCCTGTACTACAGCGACGGCAATCTCCAGAATACACACAGGGACTAGTGCTGCGGTGCAGAGGACCCCACCGATAGCGCCACCTGCAGTTCCGCTAGCCAGCATCTGGGCACCGAAATCAGAGATGATATGCAGGATCATGTGGCCGGCAGTCAGGTTAGCTCCAAGACGAACTCCAAGGGAGACAGCCCGAGAGAAGAATGAGATCTGAAAAAGTGTATTTTGTAAGTCACTATTAGATTAAGGTAAACAAGATGTATAAGCAAAAGATGATAAGGATACTTTAACTACGTTAAACAAAAGTGATTTCAAATGAAGTTGGCTCGTAAGATGTGTCAACAAAAATATCAAAATTCTTCTTTAAAAATTATATTCAGTCGTATTTCAAAATTCTTGTATCATATTTTAATCGAAAACAACAAGAAGATAAATTTAAAAACTCACCGTTTCAACAGGAACAAGCAACAGTGCCAACCCAACAGGTGCTCCAGGAGGGAAGAAGAACGAGGCGAAATCCAGCTTGTGTTTTGCGATGCATTTTATTGTGAGCCCAGCGATCAGAGTGGTACTCATAGCCACTGTGCACCCGATAATCTAAAAGTTATGATGATGTTTTTTTGCAGTTGCAAAGTTTATATCAGACAGAATATCTGAGATGACATTCTAAATTCTCAAATCTATGATTTCAATCAGCCCAGTCAGAAAAGTATTCGAATGGAGGCAAGTGAAATTGATATGAAATTGATATATGAAATGTACCTGAGTAGGCATCTCGATGTAAGGCAGAAGGTTTGTGACATTGCAGAAACCGATGGTGGTGAAGAGACCAAGGGCGAAGGGGAAGTAACGGGCACCTTCCTCTCCCAAGTTCTGTTTACACAAATCCTGAAAAGCAATCGTTATAAGTTATAATTTTACAAATTGTCGCCTGTCCGACGTCATTTGATGCCTCGCTTTTAAGCTCGTAATTCTTCTTACATCTTGTAAAATTTTGAACTTCTTCGCAAGTATATTATTAAATGCATCGTTCTTGGCTCAACTAGCTTTTAACTTATTCCCACGAATGCAAACGTTAGTTTAATTGGAGAAATTATGCACCGGACCGCGCGTAAAGTAGGTGCGTGTCCGGCGCGCGTTCCTAAATGCTGACAGAGAACATTACCAGTCGGATGCTTAGATAATAAATACACCTTTCAAACTAGCAATAGGTTGTCTCTATGGGAGCCAGCAGAGTTCTCGGAGGAAGAAAACTACTCATCCAGACAACTAGCAAGGAAATTATGACGGGCCAAAAATCCCTTTAGTACCAAACAACAAGTGGGAGGTGGATCGTTGGTACACCGTTAAATCGATTTAACACCGCAATTCCAGTCGCAAGCCTGGGACCACTACTAGCATTGTCACAACATCTACAAAGCTGCCATATAGTGACTGACAATTTTCTCGACTGACTGACAATGTTTCTTCTTTTCCCCATTTAGAATACAAAGATTAGTACATTTTAGCTTATGATTAATATTATATTTTTACCTATAGTTTACCTAGATTGGTGAAAGGAAATTGTTATTGTTGTAGGCAGTTTACAGGGGGGAAATATACCATATTGCAATGGCCATTGACAATGTCCGAGTAAGATAAATTAGAATCGTGACTCATTTTCATCCATGATAGTAATAGCAAGGAATAGGATAAATACTCAATGATTACTTACTTGGACGAAACCGTAGAGCTTTTCTTTGGCAGCCTGGCCTCTTGTGGGGATAACCCTCATTCCCTTGGCGGCTTCAATCAGCGCCCCAGAAGCAGAAGTCTCGTCTTTTTGGACATGGGTAGTATGGATGTAGTTGGTGAACTGGATAGGAGCTGCTAGTGCGCGGGCACCAGTGCACAGACCCTGCCGCAGCATAATTCTGGAGCAGCTCAACATCTTGCTTGGGATAAATAATATGGTTACAACATTTTACTAGAGATCTTTAATATGGAGTTATTTATTATTTTCATATTAAAGTAGTAAGGATATTTATTAAGGGACATTGACTGATAAAGATGTAATAATATACAAATCAGTAATAGTAATAGTGTTCAAACAAATTAGTTTGATTAAATATGACTGTCAATCAAATTGTAAAACTGTATTATACCACACACTCTGCATCATGCTATAATAACACTGGACGCTATTTAAATGCCTCACGTGTGCAAAAATGCACACAATTTATTATATCTGAGTGAGTTTATGTTCTTGATTATGCTGCGATTTATTTCTTACTAATTATTATTATTACTATTTACCGTATTCACATTTATATTCTATAAATAGAGTAGAAACAGCGCTTTCAGCTTGCAATAATTTAATTGGATGAGGCTTAACTGCAACAGTTTTAAATGAGGATTTCAGCGAGATTAAATTGATCTTAAATTGTGTAAAATACAGTTTAAATACAGTCAAGATAAAACTTAAAAGAATATGTAATACGCTACATGGCATCGAATCCTCGATAAAAACAGTATTACGTCTTTGACTTGGTCTGCAGTTTGTGCAGGTATCTGATTGCCGATAGCGTGAAACATAGCTGATAGTAGTTTGTGACTATTTCGTCGGTTTTGGAGGACTTCAACAGAACTGAAATAATAATGGTTACTATTTTGGGGCACATCACAACAACAAAAAATGATACGCAATTTCTGTCCAAAGAAATAATAATCTTACTAATAAAATAATAATCTCACTGATCACTCTAATTAACTCTCTAACTAACTAACCAGCAATAGCAGCAAATCTGGGGAAACTTTGAAATACACCAATTTGAAGCATTTAACCACCCCTTAAAAATCACAGATTATGAATTTTAGTAATCTGAATATTTACATAGGTCCAAAAATGTCATAGCTTCGTGATAGTGCAACGAAATAAATCCCAGAACATTTTGGTGCTGAGTTAGGTGGTTAAGTAGTCGAAATATGACTGATTTGTTAGTGGACATATTTTTGTACTTCTAACACTCAAACCCTTACTACACTGAAGATATAAGTGTTACAGTTAAAATTGATGGTCATTATTGAACAGAAACGGTTCATTGACACATAGTTGAAGAAAGAAATTAAAAAGGTTAATAAATGTGGTCTGTGGAGTGGTTTATATGTGTTTATGTTACAGTGTATGCGTGCGTGCGCGCGCGCGTACTTAACCATCTGTAGGCCAACATATTTAGTTTATGCTTAATTTCTTTATATATTATGTCACCACTAGAGTGCCCAATACTTTTAGTGAAGGTGTAATGTAAAACGGTTAACCACCAACTGTGGTATATCAAAAAACCCCAAAAGTGTATGCGTGCGCGTGCGCGCGCGTACTTAACCACCTGGAATGGCACAGCATTGAGATATCACCATAATTCCAAAAGCAGAGTACACCATCCAGGTGCCCAAAACTTTTGGCTATGGTCCCAATACCATAAAACCTTAGATGTGGCCATAATGTGGTTAAAACATGTTGATTTTGGACCTTCGGTCAGCAGAAGCCATCACAAATTAACCATTATTCAGCACAATCTGACCTTTTGGTGACTTATTTTGTTTTGATATTTGATTATGAGAGATAGCTGAAGGATAATAAGTGATTTTAAAGATAATGCAACAAAATGTGTGGCCGTATGGCGGTTAAAACGACCAAAAACACTGATTTTGGTAAATTTTAGACCTTTATTAACCATGATGGACGCAACATAGGACTCAGCAATGTTTCTGGTCATATAAATGAGCAGGTAGTTATATCTAGATAATGTAGCATGGCCAGCTATAGCTTTACAAAGCTAATATGTGCTCTAAAAATGGTTAATTAGTGCAAATATAGGGTATTTTCGAGACATTTTAACCACCTTAGCTGCACATTGATCGGAATGCATGAACTTGGGGTCAATTATGCATTTGCAAACAAATATACACTCATTTGGATAGCAAACCATTATCTGAAGTTCATATTGTGGTTAATTTTCACTTTAATAGATGCCTTGTTCAACAGCCTAGCAAGTAATATAGCCCTTTTAACCACTTTTATGACAACATTTCTTGATAACTTTTATCAAGACCCTTCAAATGTCCTTTGTTGACCATATAATGTTGACTAAAATCATTAATAATGTTTTGATTGATGGTTAACAACAAATTTTGACATTTTAACCATCTTTTTAGCACTTTTTACGAATATTAACCACCTCAAATCAACCATACTTTTAAATTGCACATTTGTGATACAAAATTATCATCCATGCACAAATGAACAATATTTATAGCTCACCGTTCATCTTCAATTTAACCACCATTAGGACCACAAAATGCCCCCCATGAGGGTTGAAAACTTTTGTGATAGTTGCACCATGATATGATCTCAATATAATGACTACTCAGTTCATAATATCATATCTCAAAATGGTGGTTAACCCTAAAACTGGTATTTTAACCACCATAGTGGCCACATAGATGACCCATTAACCACAATTATTCAACATAACCGTACTGCAGTGTTTTGTGCACCAGAAAAACATCACTCCAACATTGAGATTAACCACAATGAGCTGCAACATAATGTTGAAGTCAACATACTCAAATTGTGTGAAAAAAGTCAATGTCCACCAAGTTTCCCCAGATTTGCTGCTATTGCTTTAACTTACTAATCAATAAAAATTCTAAAACGTACCTTCCATCTATGACCACAGTGCTCACAAACACAGAAAGTAGTCATGGGTTCATCCGCACTTCTCGTCTGCAGCTGGTTATAGAGCACGTCACTCTTCTTGCACTTCCCGCAAGTCAAGAGATTAGTTTTAGTTCCGCTTGTTACTGCTATCTGCGCCTCTCTTATCGCTTCCTTCTGGTACTCGTTCCTTTTTTCTCGCATCCTCTGGCTTGCCATTTCCTGATAGGATAAAGTTAGTATATGATAAAATGCGATCTCTGTCGTGGAGAGATTCGAAGTTGGTGGTTGAGATCGAGAGGGTATATAACTTTAGGAGACCTCAACCACTAACCACATACAATCCTGTACGTGCTAAAATCAAGTATAGTTTGAGCTTCGAGAAGAGTAAATTTTCGAGTGAAAAATAATGCTCCTGCTTGATTGCAACTTAGTTGAGCACTTTTTGGGAAACCAAGCAACAACTAATTATCAATAATTAATATATATTGTTTATACTGAGCAAAGATCTCACCTCAGGGGCCATCTTAGCAACCATTTCGGCCGACACGCCGCCAGTTAAAACCAGGGTTATGAAATCTGGATTCTTTTCGTCTCCCAAGTTAGACACTCTGCTTCGGATCCTGGGAGGTACATTTTTTCAAACTTCAGCTTTTCGATTTTAAAAGTCTATCGACATGAAGTGTTAAAGAAACCGAGTCAAGGCATCACCAAACATTACCAAGAAAGTATAACCAAATGTTTACCGATAAAGTGCTGTATGAAATTTGACTTTATTTATTATTATTTATTTATCTATTTGCGAAAAATATTGAAGACAAACAATGTCGACTATGCTATGGATGATTAATATTTCTTATCTGACCTGTTTTTATACTTCATATTAGTACCCCTCATCTCCTGAAATATGCATTTCTCAATATCAGACGCTACTTGATACACGCTGACTTTAGCTTCGCCACCATCCTCAACCCTTCTCTTCTTCATTGCATTGTATAGCAGGTCTCTACATTTGTTCCTGAACGGTGTTTATTAAACTATGATCTACAAATTTAAATTGAAGCAAATCGTTTAAATACCAATTTCTATGTTGACTGTCGAGTGTCGGTAATTTCATTAACTATGATATCTAATTTAAAACTCTATTCTATTTAGAAACACTTACAAACTGCATTCAATTATAAGCTAATTCTTGTTTAACTTTCTGACAATGAACAACACAAACGAAGCGCCAATCTATCCACATATGTAACATATTTAACATATTTAACACTTTAAAAGGTCTGACTGCCTACCTTACTGGGTCCTGCAAATCTTCTGCACCCTCTGGGAGATCTTCTTCTTCCTTTGGAGAAGGGGAGAGAGCAAGAGCTGGCTCCATTTCTTTCACCTGAAAACAATGTCCTTTTTATAAACATCTTCTACTTTGAAAATAACTACAGTTTTTATAGTATGAACAATAACCAGTGACCAGGTACCAGCCACTATCCTTATCTATGTTATATTTTATTAAATATTTAAATCTTTATCTAGAGAACAGTTCGCCTCAATTCTTTTTGGAAAAGAAATTGCCATTGGATACCAAGAGCTATTTAAAAATTTTTATAATCAGTGAGATTGTGAATAATTTGAAACTTACCGGCGCTACTTTTTCTTCTGATTTCAAGTTTTCTTTAGGTTTGGTGTTGGGAACTGAAAGATAAAAACCGACGTAGAGTAAAATAAATTGATAATTGGTTTCAAACCGATGAATAAACTTGTGGAAAAACACTCATTTAAAAGTCATATAAATTAAAAATGAGAAATAACATTAACAATTAAAAACTATCAGTACTGCAGGTTTATGACAAGTCTAATATTTTAAACTGGTTACAACACTACAAATCTATTACATTTATTGAGGATATTACAGAAGAAATATATTTAATGTAGTTTGAGGAGTCATCACTCTCACACTCTCCTCACGTCCGAAAATGGCGTTTCTATTGTCGCTAATATACATGATGTGTATGATGACAAGAATGTGTACATTTTTGGGATTTTTGTATACTTTTCTGTTTAGTGTAAGAGTTACCCTACCTGGTACAAGTTTTTTCCAACTCTTGATGAGAGATTTGGTGAGGGAAGCTAATTCGGGGTTCTCGGTTCTCTTTCGGATCGTGTTCACTGATAATCCAACACGTGTCTTCTGTAAGGGTTAGTTTCGTTATGCAATGTTTCAAGTTTATTTTGGTAATTATCAGGCAGCACATGACCAGAACAACAATGATTTCAAACTGATCACTTGGTCGTATTTTTTGGGATACCAATTTAATACATTATTTATCGGTATAAATAATACAATTTATTAATATTAGCACAATGAAATACCTTATACAAATCAAATACCTGCAGCATCTCGAGGGACATGGGGAGGGACTGTAGGGCTTTGAGTAAATCTGTAACATTGTCCTCGTTGAAATCTTTTGCCTTGATAATAGAATCTAATTTTCTACCAATACTGAAAACATCATCTGCCATCCTGATAAATGTAGCAAATTGAGAATTTAAACTTCTACTAAATGGGAAGCTTCTACTAAATGGGAACAGATTGGATAGCGAAGATTATTAAGGAAAGATAAAGGTCTTCCAAACTCGTGCTGTCTAGCTTCTCGATTAAAGGTGGGTGGCAAGATAAGACTTATTTGATTGAAACCAATATTATTGTGAGGCACGGCACAATCATAAAAACAAAATTTTCATTTCAACAAATGATTTCTCTTTTCTTTTAAAGAATAAATAACAATATCGACATTGCAACACGAACGTGATCGTATTGTTTCAGACAATGATAAAAACGCATCAAAAATTCATCAACGTGATTTTAGACGAAATTATATAATTTGGCTGTGTTGTATAAATTAGGAATATTTTGGTTTCGCCCACTTTTCGACAGGATGTAACTACTCACTATTTAGTATTTATTGTCATAAGGACCATGACCACGTGGTGTGATGGTTGCTTCTGAGACAGAATTAAAAAAGGCTCAAGTTCAAGTTTGAGGAACAGTACTGTTCAGAGAAACAAAATTGTGAAAGTGGTTGCTTGCAATGTATGGCTTAATCTGTGTTAACAGCTGATGCCTGGCATCAGTAGATTTATCAAGAACTTTGATTGACAGGCAGATTTGGAATCTCCAATAATTTTGATAGGACTATTGAATTTGTAAGATTTGCTAGTTAGACGATGGAAATATGTTTAAATTTTTTCTAGAGACGAAGTTCAAAGTTTTATTCAACAGATATTTATTTATAACAGATTCATTAACTGACATTGTTATTTTGATGACAAAGGAGCTCATATTTATTCTTTATATTAATGATTTACCTGATATGGTCAAGAATAAGATTAAATTATTTGCAGATGACCTCAAGTTGATTGGTAATGCAGCTAACCACAGCAGTGTTGCTGAAGATATTGTAGAACTAGAAGTCTGGGAGAGTATTTGGCTTTTGAAGTTTAATCCTGCTAAATGTAAAGTTGTTCATATTAATCTTAATAGCAACCCTAACTTAAATTATTTAGTAAAAGGCGTAGAACTTGAAGTATCTGATCAGGAAAAAGATTTGGTGTTATTACCCATAGTTCCCTGCTTTGGAATGAACAGATAAAAGCATGTAGACTGAAAATCCTTAATTTGACAACGCTGGCAGAGCGGCGAATATGTGGGGACCTTATTGAAGCTTTTAAGGTTATTAATGGCTTGACTGATTATGGTTCAGACTTGTTCAGACCAAGCAGATCAGGTCTTAATCTGGTTTCATCCAATAGATGTAGTAAGAGTGTGACAAAGGTCAAGAATCTTCAGTGTTCTTTTCTTCCAGAGCGGGTTGTTCCTTATTGGAACAAACTCCCTTCGGAGGTGAAGAACTGCTTGACAGTTTTGAGTTTTAAAATTGGATTGGAAAATTTTAAAAAGAATATGATTTCTTAATGTATTGCAAATGACTTTCATTTTTGGAATGTTTTGAAAGAAGTTTTAACAAGAATTGAAGGTACCAGTGCAGTTATATCAGTAATAAGGAAAAACACAATGATTATCTGTGGTTTCATCCTTATGTAGCAAAGAAACGTTTTATAAATCTTTACTCCACTGGGAAGTATGAATAAATTAAATTTTTTAATGTTGTTGTTATTCATGATTGATATTTGAAAAAATTATTACTTTTAAATTTGATGGAGAAATAGTTACTGTATATTTTTCCATGTAGTGCAATGATATTTTGTAGACATTAGTGATGATGTTATGTCATAATTTTTACTTTACTTTACTTTACTTTAACCTTATTTATAAGGATTCTATTCTGTGTAAGTTGTCGACACCCTATGAAGGCCTTTCATGAAGATTATGAGTCGCTGCTGCAAATGGTCATTTCGCATTTAAATTCAATTTTAGACAAAGTGCGAACATGATGACTGCATGAATTCACCTCACAAATAAAGAATTCAGCTGTTGTCCAGTTACCCCTATTTTCACATTAATCTGAGGTAATCAGCTGATGAACTGAACCTATATACAATTGCTGTACGTAAAGGGTCAGTCGAAAGCACGTGGAGCAGAGCCTTTAGTCAGCACTTTAGAAGAAACGTCACATTTACCAGTATGACTTGAATCTCATAGGCTATGAAATATAAACATGACAATCTTGAAGATGTACTGATCAATTTTTACTGGTTGGATGTAATGAAAAGGATTGCATTCAAAATCTTACAACTATCTCACAAGTCCTTGCTAGGATTATACTATCTTATAAGTTAAGATTACAAAGTTTGTCACACATAGAGTCGACTTTTGACGATAAAGCACATGATATAAACAATGGGAATCAGTATGAATGAGTACTCCACATCACTGAGAATACATGAAAACATAGATAAAAAATCGAATTACACATCGAAATGATTATCAAATAAGGTGAAATGATTTCTGAAATGTAATAACAACACTACACACTAGTAAACTAATAACTTAATAAACTTAATAACACATTTAGGTTAATTGATGACATTACTACTATTAATTCTGATGGTGTCTTCCAGGAGCATGTAGCCAATATTTATCCTGATAGTTTAACTCTTAATAAGGAGAACACCGAGGACTCGACAGTTTATGATAAACGGGACGATTTCCCTTTTAATATAGTCCAATATGCCCCTAAATGTAGTAATATGTCCAGAGATGTACTTATTGGAGTTTTTGAGTCGCAACTAGTCAGATTTTTCAGAATTTGTAATCAGTTTGAAGGTTTTAGGAAACGGGTTGAACTGATGTTAAACGCGTTTATTAAATTAGGTTTTGATAGGAAGCTGTTGAGTAACAAATTCCGACGAATAGCTGAAAAACATGAATTTCAGGAGAAGTTTGACATGAACAGTACACTTGACTACTTGTTTGAGAACCGATTACCCCGTCCATAGGTGCAGATTTCGTTTTGAGGTGAACTTTTAAGTTCCCGAGAAATTTTCTTAAGTTTGCTTTTTTTCCTCCTCGGGCACATCCGTAACCTACCACAGGTCCGTATTGCCTGATTTAAGTTATGCAAAAACCAGCGGTCAGCTATCGGAATATAGCGGTTACACAACGGAAGCTAGCGGATGGCTAGTGGAAACTAGCGGACGCCTAAAGGAGACGCGGTAAAATGCAGCACTCATACCTAGCGGATGGCTAGCGGAGGCTAGCGGACGCCGCGCGCAAACTAGCGGATACTATTGGTACATACATTTCAAAGAAAAATGATACATTATTCTCAAATTTTGAAATGAAAATGAATTTCAAATTTTTTGGTTTTACCAAATTCAATATTGTGACTTCAATTACTACCCCAGCTTTAAACATTAAAGCTAATTTATTTTTACAAGTTTTACAATGCTGATATGTTAAGGTAAGCCGCGCAAGTTATAAGCAAAACAATTTTTGTTTCTGCGCGGAGAATTGATTGCGGAGTAAATTTAAGATCTGAGCTGGGATATGAAGTCCGTGCGATATGTCGTCATGGAGTTGATGAATTTGATCCAGGTTGCAAAATGCAACCAAAATTGTAACTAGGAATTTACATATTTCTTCAGTACTGTTGCATTAATTATATATTGTTTAACACTTGCATAACAGTTTCCTTTAGAAACTTGCGTACCAGTACTTCAACTTAGTGGATTCAAATAATTTCGTTGTGCTTGAACAAAATTAGTTGTTTGTAACGTTTAACTGCCTACCAGAAACATGTCATTCATGACTAGACTGACACGGGATATTGTTGAGAGGGCGGAGGCCAATCAACCCCTATTGACTACAATGTAAGTAAATAAAGCTTGACATAAACTCTTGGTTGAAATATTCTCAAAACAGTAAATTTGTCAGTTAATTGTTACATCATAAGTGAATTATATTTATCCCTCCAGACCGTCGAAAAGGAAAACATTAACAACTGTTATACCTCCGCCCAAGGAGGAATTTGCAGAATATATTCGGAGGTAAGATTATGGCGGATGTAAATTGAAGATTTTGTAAAAGTTGCCGAAAAATATTTGAACAAGTTACAAGTGTTACCATTCCTATTTTAGTAAACAAATTTCTATCATCGCCAGCAGATTGGAGGAAACCCACGGCCGAGAGTGTGTGACTCCGTCCGCTAGAGCATGGGAGGCGACACCTAACTACGCTACAGCCATGACACCAGGACATGCTACTCCGGGCGCTATGACGCCAGTGTCCACTGCTAGGAGACACAGGTTATTGTTTAAAACCGCATTTTTTAAACATTTGATTTACCGGTTTGTTAATCCGTCAAGAATCTCCACCGGTAACACTTCTTCATAGTACATATTTCTCATTATATTGTATGTAGGTTGACATACATATTATTCCAAAATCAGAATGGACACAGACATGGCATCCACATCCCACCGGTCCACCCAACCATCGACCCCACCCCACCCCACCTTATCGACGCCAACTTGCACCTCGACGCCGATAATCAGCGTCGAAGTGCCGATACATCCCCACAGAGTCTCTATAAGCTCTGGGAACACTGCAGTATAATCCTTATTTCGGACGAAGTCCCACTCTTAGTCTTAATCTTCTAAAGGTAGTAACTTCAGTTATTGAATACTTACTACACCCTTTTTATTTTCTTATAGTAATATCTTCATCTCTTTTAAATTTATTTCTCTCTCTAGCTCCTACAAGTTTAAAAAATATTGTTGGGTTTAATTTGCAGTGTATCACTCACCATACATCTTCCAGGACCTTGAAGACCACTGACGCAGATAGGCAAAGAATGAAAACTTCACTCATTGAATAGTTGTCTGCCGCGATAAACCTATAATATCACAAAAAAATAAAGTTCAGTTTGCAGTGTAACAGAGACGCGCACGTACGCACATATCATGTATCAGTTAAGCTGTAATAATAATACAATTGATGACGTACCAATACGCTACATTATAATACCATATATTAATATACAACATCATGGAATTATAAT